GCCTGTGTGTGACTGTGTAAGTTTTGTTCTTGAAGTAGTCATCTCGCTACTGCCTTACCATCCACTGATGCCAGTAACTCCTCAATTCTTTGGAATCTAGATTCTGTCCTTACAATTTCATTGAAATAGTCCCTGATCTACATTGTAAAAATCCAAAGTCAAGTTCATCATCAAACTCCACTCCAGCCTGGTTCTCCTTCAGGTTTCTTATTTAAAGAAATGATGCTATCATTGTCGAGAACACATCTTAGATGGTTTTCTTTCAATAATTTCACAGTATATCAGTTGCCAGACCAGATTCGATTCCCTTATATATATTACATTTCATTTCCTCATATGCATTATATATAATATTCAATTTCTTAATATATATGTTATATTTCATTTCCTCACATATATTATAGACTTGACTTTTAAGCAATGTCGATTGGGTTAGGGGTGCTGATCTCTTACACAGTAGAAAATCCATGTATAACTTTTGACTTCCCTAAAACTTCACTGTTAATAGCTTACTGTTGACTGGAAGCCTTACTGAAAGCATAGAGTCAAGTAACATATTTTCTATGTTGTGTGTACTATATACTGTATTCTTATGATAAAGTAAGCTAGAGAAAAGAAATTGTTCTAAAAAAATCATAAAGAAGAGAAAATACATTTATAGTATGATATTATACTTACTGAAGAAAACCCACATCTAAGTGGACCCATGCAGTACAACCCTGGGTTGTTTAGGGTCAACTGTATGTAATATTCACTTTCCTAATATATATTTATGTATAACGTATAGGTACTTTTTTCTATATCTCTGTTGTAGGATCTCAGATATTCATCTGTATTTTCTTACACTTCTCATACCTTTCTTTCTTTTAAAATATTTTTTTAACATTTATTTTTTGAGAGCCAGCGTGAGTGGGGGAGGGGCAGAGAGAGAGAGGGAGACAGAATCTGAAGCAGGCTCCAGGCTCTGAAGTGTCAGGATAGAGCCTGACGCAGACCTCGAACTCAGTAGCCCTGAGATAATAACCTGGGCTGAAGTCAAACGCTTAACCGACTGAGCCACCCAGGCATCCCTCTCACACCTTTTTCTTATATTTCATCCTTTAATCTGTATGAAATTGCATGTGTGTATATTTTGTGTGTGTGTATGTGTGTTTTAAGGAAGGAATGCAGCTTTTTCTTTTTTACCAACTAGGATTCATTTGTTGCAGCCTACTCATTCAATCATTTATTATGCTCTTGCTGATTTGAAATGCCATTTTATTAATTGCTAAATTTACTTTTATGTATATATATAGTTGATTTTTCTTTCTATTCTTGAGCATACCACATTATTTAATTATAATATTTTATAATATGTTTTTAAAAATTTTGTTTATTTTGAGAGAGAGAGATTGAGAGAGCGAGCGAGCGAGCATGAGCGAGGGAGAGGCAGAGACAGAATCCCAAGCAGGCTCTGCACTGTCAGTGCAGAATCCCTTGTGGGGCTCAAGCATCTGAACTGTGGGATTTTGACCTGAGCCGAGATCAAGCTTTGGACCCTTAACCACTGAGGCACCCAGGCTTCCCTATAATATGTTTCATTGACACAAATATGCTTTAATTACTTGTTTTCAAGATTTTTCAGTTACTTTTACTGATTTTCTTATTATTTCTGAGAGAGAGAGAGAGAGAGAGAGAGAGCGAGCGAGAGAGAGCGCATTAGCAGGGGAGGGTCAGAGAGAGAGGGAGACACAGAATCTGAATCAGGCTCCAGGCTCTGAGATAGTTGTCAGCACAGAGCCCGACGCGGGGCTTGAACCCATGAACTGTGAGATCATGACTTGAGCTGAATTCGGACGCTTAACCTACTGAGCCACCCAGACCTCCTTTTACTGATTTATTTTTCTGTTAAATTTTAAAAAAGTTAGCAAATTTAGAATGGAGTTATATGGTACTTATAAATCATTTGGAGGAAGGAATGGCATCTTTAAGAATAGAATTTTCTTTTTCAGAATTTAGTATATCTTTCCATTTTGTCTTTTTAAGAAGATTCTCAAGAGAAAAGTATACATTAGATGGTCATGAAAAATTATAATTTTATTACAGTATTAGATTTACAGTTCTAGTATTTTATCTACCGAAAGTGAAATTTGGTGCTCTTCTGGCTTTATTTTGAGGGGTATATTAAGTAAAGTAAGTTGAGAACCTTTCCATTGTTCTGCTTCGTTGGCACAATTTGTTTTTTTAAATGTTCATCTGTTAATTTGCATTAGATAATTATTAATTTTCTTGTTTCCAAAGTGGAGCTCAAAGCACATTCCCCCCACATTGTGGACGGTAGGTCGGTCTTCAGCAACCTACACAGAGAAGAGGGTAAAGCGAGAGCATTCTCCTGAGAGCTGGTGGGAGAAAGTGGGAGGGTGCAAGCCAGAGGGAGAGATCTCTGCTAACTCCATTCTCATCACTCCATGATTACAAGGCAGGCAGTAGACTCATCGCAATGGATTCTGCTCCAGGGCAAGCAGAGTTTCCGTGGTGGGTCATGGAGTGCACTGGGGCGGGAGGTGGGCATGTCTTAGCGAGTTCCTTGCATCTGCAGAGACAGCCCTGGGCGTCCTGTAGAAGTTTGCCCAGGGTTCTGGGTCTGGGGTTCCTAAAGCGGAAATGATCCATCACAGAAAACCGAACCAAACCCAAATCTGATCACATAATTGAATTTCAAACATAGCAGTGGTGCATACATCCCAGACTGTGGCAAGGTACTTAAGTCAAATTAGATTCACATCTGAAGATCACAGGCATCAACTTCTTTGGGTGTCATTTTGGTGACTAAAGTGAAAATGTTATTTGCTAAGCGACAGGGATAGTCACATGGTCCCAGAGGAATTTTGTCCCAAGAAGTCATAAAAATATTCCACTCCTTCAGGTTTACTCTCCTGAGAGTCATTTGGAGAAATGGTTTCCTTTTAAATGGTGGCTTTCAGGGCACCTGGGTGGCTCAGTCAGTTAAGTATCCGACGTCTGCTCAGGTCAGGATCTCACTGTGTGCGGGGCCCCGCCCCGGCTCTGTGCTGACAGCTCAGACCCTGGAGCCTTCAGATTCTGTGTCTCCCTCTCTCTCTGCCCCTCCCTCGCTCTCACTCTGTCTCAATCTCTCAAAAATAAGAAAAACATTAAAAAACTTAAAAAAAAATGGTGGCTTTCCCCATGTTCTGCTTTCTCTTAAAACATTCAATTTTCTTTTCCATTAATAATATCAATTCTCAGTTATGTAAAACTTTAACATAAAGCTTTTTCATTCCAGGTCAAAATATAACTTGTTTGATGCTAGACCTAATATTCTCCAAGACCTCAGAAGAATAACAGTAGCAGTGTCATGAATATCATTATCTTATTTCTGATCTTAAAAGGGAATATCTCATGATATGAGATATTTTAATATTATTAATGTTATTATCAGAAATAACTTAAAATTTCTCAAATGGCTTGGAGCAACTATGGAGAGAATCACATTTTTTTTTCACTTTTGTGCATTAGAGTGGTCCACCCCTCATATGAGTTTTCACTGGTCAGTTTTAATTTCCACGTTTCAGTTACCCGCAGTCAGTCATGTGTTATTCACCTCACTTCATGCCCTCACATCCTTCACGAGAAGGGGTGAGTACAGTGATAAGATATTCTGAGAGAGGCCACATTCACATAACTTGTATTTCAGTATATTGTTATAATTGTGTTATTTTATGATTATTGCCATTAATCTCTTGTGCCTAATTAAGCTTTATCATAGGATGTATGTAGAAGGAAAAAAAAAACATAGTATATATACAGTTCAGTACTATCCGTGTTTTTGGGCATCCACGGGGGGTCCTGGAATGTAGCCCCTGCAGATAAGGGGGGGGGCGGGGAATGACTCTATTGAGGCTGTTTTTGAATAAAAATTGTAGTATTAAGCCATCCTTAAATTTTTAGAGTAAATCTTATTCAGTTTTGAAAAATTATTTATGTAGTATTGGATTTATGTTGCTGATACCTTAGTTAAAGCGAATGAAAATTTTTATTTTGCTACATTGGCTTTGTTTTGAGGGTTATATTAACTTTGATAAATAATTTGGGAAGTGTTTCATCATTCTGTAACCTTGGAACAGTTTAAATAACATGACGGTTGTTACTTGAAAGTTTTGATGGACTTGCTCATAAAACACTCTGGACCAATTCCTTTTTTGGAGATAGTTATTTGAACATTAAAAAAAAGTCTTCCATGAATATCAGTCTATTACAGCTTTCCAATTCTTATTGAATCCATTTACTTGAAAATTGCACATTTCATTGGGTTCTAAGAATGTGTTGCCATAGAGCTAAAAGTTTATTTTTATAATTAAAATAATTGGTTTCATATTAGTTTATATTGCCAAGTATTTGTGTTTCTCTCTCTGGTTAGCATATTTTTATGATATTTGTATAGATGAGATACTGTATTTATTAATCAATTTATTTATGTATCAATTCCACTGTTATGTTTCTCCTATCTTAATTTCTTTTATTTTGATTAGTTTTTCCTTACATTTCTCTAAGATTTATTTTTATGTGTTCTCTACTCCATGTTCTGCACTGTATAATTTAAACATAATTATGGCCAAATATAACTTTATAAGTTACCTTTTAAAAAAATTATTCTTTTTTAGATTTATCAAAAAGATACACATTTGGGGGGCACCTGGGTGTCTCAGTCGGCAAAGTGTCCAACTTCAGCTCAGGTCATGATCTCACAGTTTGTGAGTTCACATTGGGCTCTGTGCTGACAGCTCAGAACCTGGAGCCTGCTTCAGATTCTGTGTCTCCCTCTCTCTGCCCCTCCTCTCTCTCTCTCAAAAATAAAGAAACATCAAAAAAAATTTTTAAAAGATACACATTTTAGAATAAAAGACTTATTAAGACCTATATTCAGTAAACCCATTTTCAAGAGGCAATAGGAACAAAACAGCAGAGGAGACACCAGTATTGAATACACTTTGCAGATATCAGACTGGGGTGACTTGGTCTTTATTCAACTTTGTTTGAATATAGGAAAAGTTTCACAAGATTAAATCATGAGATTCAAATACACTCAGGGTTTTGACTAAATTGATGTGATTATTACTAACATTGCCTATTTGAGGCAATGGTGACATTATTGCAAAACGGAACACCTGGCACATTTCTTCCAGAACTGCCCTGTGGTCCAGGGTCGGTATCCCAGCCACCTGCAGGACTCAATTTGCGAACGCCTTGCTTTACATCTGTACCTTCGATTTTTACATATTTCTCAACAAGAAACACAATCGAATTTTATTCTTCCTCGACTAAATGGAATTACAATTGCAAAAATTAAAAACCAATGATCAATTTTAGTTTTAAAAACTAGAAGAGGAAAAAAAAGATGTTACTATCAGTAATGAATTTGGAAATAAGTCTTTAAAACATAACGAGGGCAAGTTGTCTTGGAAATAATTGTATTCTATTCTTATATATATTTCTCTATAAAGGTGCCCCCCCTCTGGGGCAGAGAGGCTGAGGTGAATTCCACTGCTTTCTTCACCGCTTCCTCTCCTGTACAGCCAATGCCCAGGGGGTAGCGAGTCCTCAATGATGGCTCAATCCAGCTCTTTCATTTAGACTTAGATCTCATTCCAATTTAGGCTTCTCTTTCTCTTCTTCCATACCTAGAAATTCAGGCAAAGTTCTTTATTTTAACATCAGATTAAACTGTGAGCAATTTTGCCAAGGCTGCTCGTCTCCCACACATCTTCCCATCCACTCTGCTGCACCCACTCCCTTTCTCCTAACTAAGAAGGAAAATAATTTCCAACTTTCTCCTGAAACTTCCTTGGTGACCTCTGTCCCCACCCTTGCCCCTGAAATCAGTACACACCCAAGTCTTATGGCTTCTGGGAGTGATGGGTGCAAGTCGGCTCTTGACTCATTGAATCTGCTCAGAACCCCCCACCAGACCGTGCTGTAACCAGCTTCTAACAACACGAGGTGTGCAGCTGATGAGTCTCACTGAGACCTCACTCGTTTAGATTTTGGTCCTGTTTCTTCTCAAGGCAAGGACTCTGGATTTTCAAAAGTCAAGAAGGAAAAACAACTTTTTTTTTTTTTTTTTTAAACTCACTGAGAGCTTGTTTAGCACAAGGACTGTTGATTTCCATACCTTTATGCACTTCAACTCAAGTTCTTCCTTTATTCACCCTACTCCTGGTAGAACTATGTTTTACCTCCTGAGAGACTCATATGTACTGGACCAGTAAGACCTCTGTCTGTGGTCCGTAGTGAATAGTTAATGATGTTTCATTTTCCTGGAAGTGAAAATGTTGAAGTCATTGTCATGCATTAAAGTTAAACTGGTAAATGCTCCCCACTTTTTCTTTCTTTTGCTCCTTGCTAAATATTCTTTTGAAACCAAATTCTCAGATGTTTTGCTGGAACAAAAGAACCCCAAATACTGCTTTGCGGGTTTTGTTGGTATTTTTTTATGTGAGTTATTAGCTCTCGAAGGCAGAGTCCTTAACTGTTTTCTTTCTGATAATATCCCTAGCACCTAACACAGTGTCTGATTCACAGGAGGAGCTCAATTAATCATTATGGACTCAGTTAATAAACAATGAATACAAGGACGGCCTCAGAAGGCTATGCTAGTGGGAAAGCAGAATAAAATAAGGAACTTCACAGTATAAAAAAACGTAAAACCTAATCCCAGAGGGTTACTCTCACAGGGCTTATATTAGGGAGAATTCCCCTTCCCCTTAGCTCTCAGTTCCCAGTATTTGTTTTGTGGAGTCAGGGTGGTGGCGGTAGGAATGTGGGTAACATGCTCTGAACAGGTGTCCTTAGACAATCTTTCAGGTTTGGTTTTCATGACTAAGGAACTGGCACAGATCTATAACACTTCTTCCAAAGTACTTCTCAGAAATCATATTAAGGAAAACTTCAGATTAAGGAATAAGGACATCTGAAGGGAGGAGGACCAGGGGTCTAGGGGGGAAGGCCAGGAGATGCCTTCGTTGTTGGTAACCAAGGCAAAGGCAGAAAAACACAACAGAGATTCTGTTCAAACAGCACACATGACTTGGGCCCCAACTTTGTCCCATGTTCCTTCTCCTGTGGAGAAGCTCTCAGGAACTAATAAATGCTTGCTTTTCTTTAAAGTCTGTTTCCTCCTAAGCATTCTCCTGCAGATGGGTTGACTTGGCAGCAACAGTGGAATCTTCAAAAGCGGGGGTGGAGAGCAGGGGGTGTTCATTGACCCAGACAGGAAAAATGGCTCCCCACCTACTTTAGTTTGGCAGCTTTGCGGTAGAGGGAAAAAATTAGACAGCTGTAAATAATATTTGGAAGAACCAGAGGTATAATTTCCACACAAATAGCAGAAAGAAACCTGTCACAAAGCTGAGGCAGGATGTGCTTTTGGGAACCTGGAGGAAGAGCTGATTGACCCTGAGAGAGTTAGTCACATGTGATTCCCCAGGCTGGGAGAAGGGCTCAACCAGAGGGCAGTGCTGGGACACTGTAGGCCTGTGTGGGCCTGTGTGGGCCATGGGCTGGAGGGGCAGCGGGGGGAGAGAAAAAGAAGGAAGGTTTCTGTCACAAACATCTGGCTCCAACCTCCTTTCTCTTTGGCTTGTCTCTGTCCTCACCCCAACCTTTCATTTTTGGACACTTTCATTTCTGGTCGCATTATGTTTTACTTTTAATAAGATTGGTCACCCCAGATAGACACACGGGAATTGGAATAAATTCTTAGCTTAAGTACAGAAATATTTCAGCTATTACAGGTTGAACTGTGTCCTTTTACCAACGTGCCCCCCAATTCATACATTGAAGTCCTAACCTCAGAACATCAGAATGTGAGAGAAGGCCAAGGGGTGTGGTGAGACAACCATTTGCTAAAACGGTTAGGGCATATCATTCATGGATCCAATTAATCATTTCAGCAGCAGCCAGGAGAGATCTGTGGGGGACCTTCTTGTCTGATGTTTTGGAGCCCTGCGAATTGCATAGGTAGCCAAAAAGGTTTCTGAGAATTTTGTGCCAGCAGAAAACAGTGCCAGCCTGGACTAAAAAGGACAGAGACAGCATGAAATGAAAGAATGACTCTTAAGTTGGTTCAGGGGCTAGTCTCCTCCAGAGGGTAAGGCTTCCACCTAGTGACAAGGGGCAGTGGCCCGAGGATGGAGCATTCAGCCAAAGAGAATCACTGGCCTTTAAACCTAATAGAACTTGCCCTGCTACATTTCACACTTGGTTAGGAACTGTGACCTCCATTCCCCCTGTGATTTCTCCTCTTTGGAAAGAGTGTGTATATTCTAATGCCTGTCCCACTATTATGTTTGGGAAGCAGATAACTTTCTGTCTGGCTTCACAGGTTCACTACGGAAGAGCAATTGTGCTTCAAGATGAATTATACCCTGAGTCTTAATCACACCTGATTTAGATGGTATTTAAGATGATATTTTAGACCTAAGAGTTGATGCTGGAAAGACTTTTGGGGCTCTTGGGAATGTATTTTGCATGATGAAGAACACGAATTTTGGGGTCAGAAGGCAGAGTGTTAGGGGTGAATTGTGTCTCCCCACATCTAACCCCCAGTATCTCAGAATGTGATTGTATTTGGAGATGAGGTCTTTACTAAGTTAAAATGAAGTTACCAAGACCCTTTTCAAATATTGCTGTTGTCTTTATAGAAAGGATAAATTTGGAGACAGCTTCACACACGAGGGCAAATGTCATGTGAACATGAAGACCGTCATCTATAAGCCAAGAAGAGAGGCCTGGAACTGATCTCTCCCTCATGGTCCTCGGAAGAAACCATTCCTGCCAATACCTTCATTTTGGTCTTCTTGCCTCTAGAACTGTGAGACATGGCATTTCTATTGTTTAAAGCCACCCAGCCTGTGGCACTTCACTGTAGCAGCCCTAGCCAACCATTACAACAGTCACAACTCCACTTAGAGTTACTGTTCTTTAAAAGGAGCAAATGCTTACCTATACAGTTAACCTATTTAAGGGCTTTTTGTTCATTGTTCTTATCAGGTTCGTCTATTTTGTTATTTTATGAACTAGGTCCACGGGTCTTAGTGAAGTTTCTAACCTCTCATGGGTCTTGGTTTTCAAGGGTGACAATCTGATGGTTCAGTAAAAGTAACACTGGATTGGCCATTACGCAGAAGGTGTTGGCTGTGCAGCCACCTATTTTGGTGGATTGTCTAGGATTTCCAGCTTCAGCTGCTGCGTGGTAAAAGGACCAGCTTAGATGGTTTCAAATATTCTTTTTGGTTCTAAGATTCTGTAATAATGTGATTTTATCTCGAAATTGAAAACACAGCATAATCAAATGGAGGAAGTGAAGCCATTAAAAATCATTATGGATACAAGGAAGGGGGGTCCCTGTGATATCCCTGCTTTTGGAGGATTTTGTTTTGGATGTAGTAAATGTACTCAGGATTCTGACTCTAACTGTACTCAGTTCATCGCGACACACACAAACACACACACGTACACACACATATACGGGCACATACTGTTTTTAATCAGCACTTTTTCAATTTAAATACATATGGAAGCAGGCAGCTAGTGTGGTGGAGCAAAGTGGCCATGTGAGAACCAGGAACACTTAAGGAGCCAACTCAAGGGGGCAACTGGTCCTCAATTCCAATCCATTGTTGCCATAAGAGACAGTGGGCTTGGTGGTGCTGATAAGCTGATGAGTCTGGCCTGTATGTGTTATCTCCCAATTTTTTAAATGTTAGTTCAAAAAGCAAAATCCCACTAAGTAGGTCTAACAAAACTTTTGGCAAGTAAATTTGGGGGGAGGCCACCAGTTTGCAATCTTTCTCATAGATGAGAAAAATGTGCGCATTGACATCAAACATCTGCCTTTGTGGAATTAACTAGATGGTCCCATGTAGATAAAATTAATCTCCATACCTAAAATGAGTTACAGAATATGAGTCAACCTTACTTAAGAGAACGGCACAAATGAAATCAAACAGATCATTTAAAAAACCCTTAGTTTCACTATTTGTTTTTAACTTTTTACTCAGTGCTGTTAAAAGAAGAGTATTCTATTAATCCACACGAATTTTTCTCTTTCCTGGTCTTCAGGCCATCTTCTCTTAGGAGTAGTAGAACAATGGCCAAATGACCATTGGAATTAAGCCAAATCAAGGGGAAAGAGTCATAAATACTTTCTGAATAACATATATTAAGCATATGAGCCTACATTTAAATATAGCTTTTCTCCCAAGAAGCTGAGAAAAGTTTACATTTGTTCTCAACATATTTCTGTAAGTTATCTCAATACTTCCATAAGTTAACTAATAAAGATTACTATTCCCATTGAACAGAGAAAGAATTGTTAAAAGACTAATTTCTGACTTCCCAAGCTGCGGCCTGAACCAAATAAAAAATGTTGACACTTTTTCTAATAGACCACTTAGTAAAATTAAGCCAGCTGCTGAGAAAAGAAATCCTTAAATTCCTCCTGGCCATTCACCATTGGCTAATACCTTGACACACAATCTTAGAAGGTTCACGCACAAAAAAGTCCAATTTGGTAACCAAGCAACGACTGTGTTTTATTTGTCTAATAAGATCAAGTTCCTGGCACAGTGTCTGGCAGAAAGTAGGGTGCTCCGTGTTTGTGGAACAGGAATCATTTGCTGGTGATGTCTAGAATGTTGTGATTCTATTGGTGGAGATGACCAGAGCTCTCTAAAATTCCCAAATCATCTTGCCTTTAGAAATACTTTCATGCAGGACTCAAATCACTACATACTGTGCTGTTGCTTTTTCCATATTCCCATTTGTATGTTATCTTACATACACTTTGCACAGGGGTTTGCACAGCTTGGGTAAGATTACGTGCCTTGCCAAGATGGAGGCTCTGGCATAAATAGAAACAAGAGAAATCAAGTCATAGGTTAAGAGAGTTTCCGCAGCAATGAAGCATTATTACCTTTACTGCCTGTACCTCTTTGTCACCTCCAGCCCTTGAATATGACAGTCACTGGTGAATCACAGTGGCCACAGGTATTCTGAGCTGCTTGGAGTTCTAGTAGAACAGTGAGGGAGACTTGTCTGAAGCTACTGCACCCACAGAAAGGATGATGTATGATGTCGAGGTTTAGGTGGCTTTTAATGAGACTATTTGACTACATTTAATATTTTGTCTATTTAATTGTAGGGGGGATCCCTTTAGCTAAAGCAGTATTTTGCTGATCAGAGTGAACTTCCTAAATTTTTCTTGTTGTTGTTAACACTACATTTCTCCCTATAAAACTTTATAGACATGCTTCTTTTCTCTGAGATTTGGATGTTTTACTAGCTAATAAGACAATGTGAGTAATAAACCTTTCAGGTAACTGCCAGCAGCTCTTAAATTAACATTGTGAAGTTACAAAATGAAACTCTTCATAACTGATCCTGGGCTACGATGGAATTTTCCTGCAGTGTCTGCACACACTCTTTTAGAGAGCAATTCTCCTGTTTTATGCTCCCCTCAACAATACTTACTTCTCTGTGTATCCCAGATATAGCTGTTCAGAACTTCTCCCAGCAGGTACAAAAAGTTCATTAAGATGGTTGTAAACCCAAAGAAGACGATCCTGGCTCCTGGGCCAATGTGTTCCAGGAAAGGATACACCCACATCCCAGTTACGTGATGCACCCAGCACACCCTGCAACAGAATTGGAAAGGAGACAAAGTCAGGAGTTCCTCTCATGTCAGATTTCAAAGCTCTTGCTATTGTGAATATGGACCCATCACTCGGACTACTCTTCGCTAATGCCGGTCACAAGTTTGCTTCTGATGCTCAGGAGCTACCAGGAAGTGTGTTCTCGTTGTTGTTTGCTTGTTATCTTATACTTTTTATTCTATAATAATTTTAGACTCACAGAGGAGTTGCAAATATGGTAGAGTTCCAGTAAGACCTTCACCTCAGCTTCCCTGAATGTTAACATCATGTACAACCACGGCACAATTACTAAGGCGAAGCCATTCACATTACTAACTGGACTGCAGAGGTTATTCTGAATTCCCATTTCCCCATGAATGCCCTTTTTTCTGGTCCAGGATCTCGCGTGTGCTTGGTGGTCACATCTCCTTAGTCTCCTCCAATCTGGTAGTTCCTTGGTTTCTCCTTGTCTTTCTGACCTTTGATGGGTTCTGGTCAGGTATTTGAAATGTGTTTTTCTCAATATTGTTACACAATCTTTATTTCTTCCTTACATACTGAGACAATATAGCATCAGGCAATGACACTGTAATCAAACCTCAGTGAGTATGTGCAGGCATCTTCCATACTGCCTTCTAACCGGATACCAGTGTGTACTCAGCCGTGTACTCAGTGTAGATCACAGTGTGTATATACTGGCAGAGCCATCCTGTAACCTCACCAATACTTGGCTTCCTACCACCTGGATTGTTGGCTACTGTATTTGTTTCTTGTCTTTGTTCCCCTTAGTTCACACAAAACTTGCTTGCAATAATCTGTTTGTGTTCTGGGGATAGTTTAGGCTCAGTGGGAATACAACATCATTAACCTCCACAGTTTTCAAAAGTTTAGCTAGAATAGTTACTCAATTTCGTTTGGTCTTGACATTCTTGGGTTCATCACTTTATCAACTGCTGTCAATCTGGAAGACTAATTATAACATAAGTAACATGATTGCATGAGGAATAAAGGTTACTTTTTATACTTATGCGTTTGGGGGTCATCTTCTTTATCATCCATGGCTTCACTCTTTGTTAAGCACTTTGTCTGTGTATCTGTTACTTATATATTTACCTCACTGACGCAAGAACCCTGCGGATATTTATCTTAGAGCTTGCTGTCTCAGTGAGGGTGATACCACTCCCCCTCAAGGAGGTGAAAATTGGTTCTGAGAGGGTGATGAAATCTTACTGTTTTTATGTGTGAAGCACAGACACATATATACACAGAACATAAACAGATACACAGCTTATCTGTGGTATTAACATTTCATGGGCCCAGCTATTCCGCATTGACATAAATCCAAAAGAATTGAATTGAAAGCAAGAACATACACAGGTATTTGTACGCCAATGTTCACAGCAGCACTATTTACAATAGCCAAAAGGTGTGGAACCAACCCAGGTGTCCATCTAGGATGAATGGACACACAAAATTGGTATAGCCATACAATGTAATATTATTCAGCCATGAAGAGCGATCACATTTTGATACATGCTACAATATGATGGACCTTGAAAACATTATACTAAATGAAAGAAGCCAGACGCAGAAGGACAAATAGTGTATGATTCCACGTATATGAGATACTAGAACAGGCAAATTCAGAGACAGAAAGTATAATAGAGGGTACTAGGGGCTGGAGGGAGTGGGGATAGGGAGTTAAGGTATAAGGAGTATACAGATTATGTTGAGGAAAATGAAAATGTTTTAGATAAACATAGTGGTGATGGTTACATAACACTGTGAGTGTATTCAATGACACTGAGTTGTATGATTATAAATGGTCAAACGGATAAATATGTTGTGTATATTTTACCACAATACAGCATTTTTATGGGTTGGAGATTAGGAAAAAATTTACCTAAAAAGGTTCCTTGGTGGGGTTCTCAAAAAGGAGAGAAAGGTGGAGAAGCATTGTCTTAGTGGGAAGAAATGGTCATTAGGTCCAACCAGGTCAGCCTGAATAACTTCAAACTAAAAGCTTTTTCCAAAAGAAGAAGCCAAGCTAGTCAAGATTTCTCTTTCTTAAAAAGATTGAAGGATTTGTGAGAATCAGCAGACATTAAATTTTTAGAGCTACCCTATGGGATTCTGATGCATCATATTGTGTTTGTCCATAAATTAGAGGCAGTTTTGTCTTCTTAATCTTTTCTTCACTAGTGTAAGGAGTATTGTGTGCTCATCAAGTGGCTTATTAATTTCCATTGAGATAATATGCAATATCCCAAAAATGTAATGCCATAAAGCTATAATTGACTTTGCAAATCAACTTATAAAACTATAATCTGACTCACTGCGAAACTGTTTCCTCAATTAGGCAAATTAGGAGCAATTCAAGTTATGAATGCTAGTTACATGTTTTCCTACCTGTTCCTGGCTTTCTACTTGCTTCTGATAGAATGAACTTTTCACTGGCAGCTTCTGGTAATGTCTCTAATGGAGGCCTCTGCTCCTCAGATGTTATTTGCAGTGTACTTCTGGTCTCAGTGGAGCCACTCATACTACTGAATAGATCCAACGACCACAACCACATCCCATCTCTCTGTAGAGACCCGTACATTTACATCTTCAGTCTTGACCTCTCCCTGATCTCCAGAGTTCTATACTCAGGTGCCCACCACACCAGAGTTCTATACTCAGGTGCCCATGGGAAGATACACCTCCAACTCAACACTTCCATGATGTCACCATTCATCTCTGCATCCTAATTCCTGCACGTGTCTCCCCTCCTCCACCATCTAACAGCAAACATGCATGTCCCACATCTTTCACTTCTCACATCAATGACTACTACATTACTGCAGCAGTAGTTTGGCGCAGAAAATGTAGAGTCATTTCTGACTTTTCTTTTTCTCACAACCTACACCTAATCCATCCTTAGATCCCATTGGCTCTATTTTCCAAATAGACCGAAGGCATCTACTTCTCACCATTGCCACTGCCACTATCTGGGTTCAAGCCATCATCATGTCTCACTGGAAGCACTGCAACAGCTTCCTGTGTCTTTGTTTTTACCCTTGCTACTGTCTGTTCACTGGGCCATTCTCATTGGAACAGCCAGACTGATCTAGATTATGTGCAAATTAGGTTGTCTCACTACTTTGCTCAAAACTCTTGCTTCCCTTTCTCACTTAGAATAAAAGCCGGAGACCCCAGGCAGTTCTTCAGGGAACTACCTAGGCTTGGCAGGTACTTTTCTGACTATTCTCTTCCTCTTCTCCTTCTCGCTCACCCCACTCCAGCCACACTGACTCCCTGGCCTTCCTTAAGAACACTGAGCACACTGTATTTGTTCCTGTGGCTTTCACATGACTTCTTACCCCTGTCTCCCCTACAGTATTCTCAATGTTCCCTTGTGTCCTTCGGTGTTCACTCAAAAGATACCTTCTCAGTTAGGTCTTCCCAGGCCACGCATCTACAAGTTGCAACTTTTATCCTGAATCTTTCTATTCTCCATCTCTTTATTTTTCTCTCCAGCCAGTTAATTTACTGTATTTATTTTCACTTACCTGTGTATCATCTGTCCAATGAGCATAAGCATTTTTATATTTTTATCTGTTAGGTTCGTTGCTAGGTTCTGTGGCCCTTGGAGCAGTGTCTGGCACACAGGATGTACTCAATAACTATTTATTGAATTAATACCTGAATAAAGACATACCAAACCAACAACATCTGTTTATTAACCCTTTACTATATGACAGGCACTTTGCCAATAACTTAAAAAAACAATTTAAAAAATCTCCCCCCTCACCCTCCAATCTTTATGTCCTTGGTTGTCAGCAAAGCTTTTCTGTAGAGAACTAGATAGTAAATATGCTCAGTTTTGGAGGTCACACGGTCTCCGTCACAAGTCTCAACTCTGCCATTTAGTGCAAAAGTAGCCATAGACAGTAGATGAACTAAAGAATAAAGTTGTGTTCCAAGAAAACAATGGAAATGTTAAGATTCTCCGGGCAGGGGAGTGGAAAGCTATTCTGAGGACAGTGCTTTGAGATAGTACGTGATCTCCTTCACCTTATTCAACCACTGTATGAGGTATGATTATCCCCATTTTACAGGTAAAGACGCTGAGGCCGGACTAAAGAATGTGCTGGAAAAACAGCAAGCCTGGGAAAGGAATGATGCATATCTGACTTCTTTTCTGCTGCAAGGACTTGGTTCCCTAAATGAGGCTTTTACTATAGTCTCCAAAATGAAGGAAGGTTTTCTTCTTTAAAAAACGTTGTCTTGACTGCACCTCAGATACAGGAGTCGCGTTGTGTGGGTTTCACGGGATCCGTGTGAATGATGCACCTACTTGTTCTAACAAGTTGTGTTTTCGCCATTTGTTTCCTTGATACAATCAGGGCTCTATTTCCGGCACAAAGATGACTCATGGCCTCGCTCATCTATCTGTGGAGAGTTCCCAGTTCTTGGTTCACTTTCAATTTCTATCTTGTTCTGAAGCCTTCCTGTCTTAATGCCAAATAGCTTATTCTTTTTTTTTTTTAAAATTTTTTTTTTAATGTTTTATTTATTTCTGGGAGAGAGAGAGAGAGAGAGAGACAGCGTGAGCAGGGGAGGGTCAGAGAGAGAGGGAGACACAGACTCTGGAACAGGCTCCAGCCTCTGAGCTGGCAGTCAGCACAGAGCCCGACGCGGGGCCCGAACCCACGAACCGTGAGATCATGACCTAAGCGAAAGTCGGACGCTTAACCGACTAAGCCACCCAGGCGCCCCAACCAAATAGCTTATTCTTAAGGTAACGGCACCAAATTTAATTTTAGCCTAAAAAAATTGATGTGTGTGTATGTATTTGTGTGTGTGTGTGCGCACGTGTGCACACACAGATATGCAGATGTTCGAGTATCATGAGACTTCCGGGACCATCTATTTTACTAAATATACCTCCGTGTTAGTTCACTTTAATGTGTAATTTAAGAAATGATGTACCTATTAATGCCTCCTATCTAAGTGCTGTG